GCCGCCTTTTGTCTGGCAGCCAGGATCTCTGCGTCTTGCGCGGCAGTGTCTCTCTGCTTCTTATTCGAGACCTTCTTAAGTCGGTAGAATTCTTCTCTGTCGAGCTCATCGAGTTCGGAGTTGATGTCTATGGTGAGTTAGCACAAAAAAACACAGGCATATATATATATCAGGTGTAGGTGACTGACATTTGATTGTGTTCTCAGTTCGAGGAATGATGACATGCTCACTGGTGATCGCGATGTTAGTACCCAAATCCCCAACACCCGTAGACACTGTGATAATAAGTAGCTTACATTGCGTTCACTATAAACAGTCAGTATCGTATCCCAGTATCCAAGTGCATTGCATTGACTTACCTCTCCGGTTGACAACCTTGATCATCTCATCAAGAATAAGGAATGCAGTCTGAAATCCATTAGCTACCAAACGGGATCTCACAGATGTTGACTCCCTACCTGTAAACTTGCCAGCTCCACCAGTGTCTCTACCGCGCGAGCATAAGTCTCCCGGCAGCGTTGAACCTGCTGACCACCTTTCCCAAGACCAGTCAAGCCGAAGTCGTTAATTCCCTCCTCCTGATACGCCTCGAATTGAGGCAGGAAGACACCAGACACGTTCTCCTGCTTGGCCTGTACACGGAATCGAGCCTGTTTGGCGGATTCCTGGATCTGGTATCCAATGTCCCCTCCAACGGCATAGCTCACCTCCGCCAGGGAGAAGGAAGCCACTTGCATGACTCGTCCCATCTTTCGTTTCGCTTCATCAATGCGCCGGGTGATGTCTGGTTTCGAGCGTTAATTCCCGTCGATCTCCGCCGTTTGGAATCGTCTTACCTCGAAAGCGCCTATAGATTGCGGTATACGATTAGCAGGGAAGTCCGGAACACATCAAGAGGAAACGCACTTCGTCAAAGCTTCACTTTTTCTCTTCAACAAACTGTGGCCAGTCTCTGCACCCTTAAGCTTGCTCTTCATCAAACCCAACGACTGGCGAGTCGGGAAGACTGGTTCGCGGCCCTGGATGGCGACAGGTTAGTAGACTACTTCGCAACAGCCGTATTGAAGCAAACTCACTGCTGCCGACATGGTGAGATATCAGATTATATTTTAACGGCAATTCAAAACACCCAAATTGCAAACAACTAACAAAAGACGAACACCCCGTGGCATCAAATGGACGGCATGACGATAAGTGAGCCAACTGCGCGATAGCCCGCGGAGCTTGGACCAACTCCGTGTCCGATGCGGCATGGCAGTGAGTCACGTGATATCGGTCGACTTCATCTCATCGCGGCGCCCAGCAGTTCACACTCCAACGGCGACCAGACAACGCTTTTGCCCGTTCATGCCACTATTTTCTTTTCAGCTCCTGTGTTGACCGTGTGAGTTGATCCCGCTCGATTGAGTGGCGCAATGCCAGGGACACTTCTGCCCCCGAGATCCCACCGGCAACACGCAGAGATGGATCGATCATCGGCTTCTGGGCCTGATCTGTACCTGATCGTGAGTGTCACCTGGAATTCAACCTGCGAGAAAACAGAGACTGACAATGCGATTTCCGCAATAGGCCGATCAGGACACCGTCTACGAGCAAGATCTCATCCGGGACCCCGGCAGTATCAAATCATGGCTTTCCTACATCGAATACAAGCAACAGCATGGGACACTTTACGAACAGGCTTTTGTGAGCACTTCGATGGATATATACTGTTTGCGAAATTGTGAAACTGACACATTCCAGGTTATGGAGCGTGCCTGTAGGCAGCTACCAAGATCTTACAAGCTGTGGAAGATGGTACTTTTTTTTGCCCCCTCATTTTTCCCACCATCCACCAAGACAGAGACATTTAGATCAGTGGCTGACTTTTGTAGTATCTCGAATTCAGAGCGAGTCATCTTCGTGGTCGCAATGCGACCAAATATCGGGCTGAATACCAGAAAGTGAACGCGCTTTTCGAGCGCGCGCTTATCCTCCTCAACAAGATGCCCCGGATATGGGAAATGTATCTCTCCTTCATGCTGCAACAACCCCTTGTCACACAGACCCGACGGACATTCGATCGCGCGCTTCAAGCTCTGCCCGTTACCCAACATAACCGGATCTGGAAACTTTACAAGGCATTCGCACGCTCCGCTTCCGGTCAGACTGCGGTGAAGATCTGGGCCCGGTATATGCAAATTCATCCGGAAAACTCGGAGGAATATATCGAGCTTTTGGTTGAGATGAAAGAGTATACGGAGGCTGTGAAACGATACATGGACATCCTCGACGACCCGCGATTCCAGTCGAAGGAAGGGAAAAGTCATTTCCAGTTATGGACTGAGATGGTCGACCTATTGGTTTCCAAGGCTAAACAGATCAAGACTGGTCCGCAGGTTGGCATTGATGTCGACGCCATCCTGCGTAGCGGGATCGATAGATTCGCCGACCAGAGAGGAAAGTTATGGGCCGGATTAGCGACATATTGGATCACAAAGGGTAACTTCGAGAGGGCAAGAGATGTCTACGAGGAGGGTATCCTCACTGTCATGACCGTTCGCGATTTCACTCTTATCTTCGACTCCTACGTTGAATTCGAAGAATCGATCATTGGAAGCCTGATGGAGGCGGCCGCAGTTCGTGCTGATAAAGGAAAGACTGACGAAGATGCCGATTTCGACCTTGACCTGCGAATGCTGCGATTCGAACAGCTTATGGATCGACGGCCGTTCCTGGTCAACGATGTGCTCCTGCGACAGAACCCCAACAATGTCATTGAATGGGAAAAGAGAGTAGCCTTGTGGAGTGAGAACAAGCAAGAAGTCGTCAATACCTACACAGCTGCTATCGCGGCGATCAACCCCAAGAAAGCCCACGGCAAATTCTCTGAGCTCTGGGTCAATTACGCCAAATTCTACGAAAACGGTGGCGATTTAGACACAGCACGAGTCATATTCGAGAAAGCTGTCAAAGTCCCCTTCAAGTCAGTCGCAGAATTGGCCGAGACTTGGTGTGAATGGGCAGAGATGGAATTGCGGGCCGATAACTTCGACAGAGCAGTTGAAGTCATGGCCAAAGCTACGCAAGCTCCCAAGAAGTCCACCGTGGACTATTTCGACGAGACTCTTTCGCCTCAGCAGCGTGTCCACAAGAGCTGGAAGCTGTGGAGTTTCTACGTCGACCTGGTTGAGAGTGTTGCCTCCTTGGAGGAGACGAAGAAGGTCTACGAGAGAATCTTTGAACTACGTATTGCGACTCCGCAGACTGTGGTCAACTACGCCAATCTGCTGGAGGAACACAAGTACTTCGAAGACTCCTTCAAGGTCTATGAACGAGGACTGGATCTCTTCAGCTATCCGGTTGCGTTTGAGCTTTGGAACCTCTACCTGACCAAGGCCGTGGACCGGAAGATCGGAATCGAAAGATTGCGTGACTTGTTCGAGCAGGCTCTGGATGAATGTCCTCCCAAGTTCGCCAAGCCTCTGTACTTGATGTACGGTAACCTAGAGGAAGAGCGCGGTCTGGCACGGCATGCGATGAGAATTTACGAACGCGCTACTCGTGCAGTATCCGACGACGACCGCTTCGAGATGTTCGAATTCTACATCACGAAATCCGCCTCGAACTTCGGATTGACCTCCACGAGACCGATCTACGAACGGGCTATCGCGGCTTTGCCTGACCAGGAAGCCAAGGAAATGTGCCTCAAGTTTGCTGAGATGGAGCGACGACTGGGCGAGATCGATCGGGCCCGTGCAATTTACGGACACGCATCGCAGTTCTGCGACCCTCGCACCAATGCCGGTTTCTGGCAGAAATGGGAGGCGTTCGAAGTCCAGCACGGAAACGAGGACACTTTCAAGGAAATGCTTCGTATCAAGCGAAGTGTACAGGCGCAATACAAGTATGTGACCATCCTGCCCTCAAAATTGATAAAGTTGATGTTCACTAACACGCAAAACAGCACCGATGTCAATTTCATTGCGTCGCAGGCAATCGCCCGTAGCCAGCAGCTCCCTCAAGAAGGTGGCGAAGAGGAGGGAAAGATGGATGGTGCAAAGGAAAAGGCCGATGTTATGGCAGCTTTGGAACGACAAGCGCGTGCTCCGATGGGCTTTGTCGCTGCCAGCACTGGACCTGAGGGTGGTAACCGACCTCCCCCTGCTGGCCAAGAGCAGCAACCGTCCGCCCCTGTCAACCCAGACGCTATCAACCTCGACGATGACATGGATGAATAACTGTTTTCCTTCGGTTTGTTTTGGAAGAATGCGTGATGGATAACCTTCGTCATTCCTTTCTCATTTAACATGTCTTGATCGTCACAATCTCTTAAATCTCCTTTGTTTTCAATATTTCCTGGATTGCGGTGTGTGCATTGTTTTTCTCTCGGATCCAGTTGGATTGCGATGCTGTGCGATACCTCTAGTCGTGTTTCGTTGTACTGTATAGACAATTCTTTGATAATGGGGCATTTGTCGTAGTGTGTGTGAAATTTGTTGTAAACACTCGAACTTCAGACGTAGTTCACGTGACCTTTCTGCAATGATAAAACATTCCTACAGAGATCAATCATGCAGACGTGTCTCCTATAAGATAGGAGGAACAGATATTAATTCATAATAGTAATGTATACATCTGTGCGCAGTATTTGAAATACATGCCATTCACGCCTTCATTGCTTTTCCCAACCCTGCGTCGAGCAAATCCCGAGTGTGGATGCTCGGGATTTGCTCGATCGGACCTTACGATGCCATCCGGTCCTGCAACCCTGCGCCAAACCTCGGCGGCTTTCTACAATACAATCCCATTATCAAGGAAGTCTCCAGCAGCACACAGGCATTGTCCTTAGCATTGGTATCCGACATTTTGCCCTATGACTACTACATGCAGCCGCGTCGTCTAGTCCTGGGGTGGTATGCTCTCTCTCGCCGGGTGCGGAGGACGCAGACCTGTGCCAATTTCGGATGATTACTTGTGATTACTAGTACTGTCTATGTACCCTGTACTGCATCATCGCCATGGTCCAGGAGAGTTTCAGACATTCCGATCATGATTCAATTACCGCTGTGGCGCGGTCTGCGGTCTCGAAACCGTCGTCGGTGGTTCGCAGGAAGTTCGCGAAGCCCCCGGTTAAAGTAGCTTGTTTGGCTTGGTAAGCTCCATACATTTTACGGACCTGGAGCCGGCGTCCTATTGCGGTGTTTGCTTTACTAATTCGATAATTAGCCGTGCTTCGAGAACGCGTTGTGATGGGCAGGAGCCATGTGCCAATGTATGTTGTCGTCGTGTTTTCATTTGCTTGTCCATTTCGCTCCGGACTGTACTAAAATGTCTCTCTCCCCTTGACATCAGTGCGCTGGCAGGAACCGAGAATGTTCCTATACGCCCAGTAAACGAGGTGGCCCAAGGAGAAGAAAGAAGAAATCCATTTCCGAAGGAAACAATGTCCGACATAATGGCGCCCAGGGGATGGCAATGATGCCGTCGCCTGATTTCCAGGAAGGTTTGTTGTGAAGGCATTTCTGTCGTTTCTGATGAAAAGCTGACTGATGACTGGTATAGCGTCGTCCGATATGTTTGGCCAAATCGATGAGCTGTCTATGCCAGGTGCAGGACTGAGAAGCCTAGATTATTCTTCCGATGTACAGACTATGTTTGCAGATCTTTTTGTCCCCAATACCGAAGGACATTCCGACGTGCATATACAGTCAACGCCGTCATCATCAAGTATGCCCATGCAGCCTCTGGCGCGGACGTATGGCAGCGAATACGAAATGTTAGTTGTCCCATGAACTCCAAGGCTCATAATAAATGCTGACCTTCGCTATAGTCTGAACGCCTACTACGTTTTCATCTATCCCTATTTCCCTATCCTCCCACCAAGAGTGACGTCTCCTTCGCCTGATCAACCATTGAATTACGCTACATCCTGCACCAGCTCCCCTTCCGAAGACCCTGTTCTAGCTTACCGGCCTCGATCGCCTTTAAGTCTTGCACTATCGGCAATCCTATCCCTTATACCTCACCCAGATGATCCAGAACCGTCATCTCCAAATTCCGTGGCGCAGCGCAGAAATTGCGCCCATGCATTCGCCCAGATGGCAGCTGACAGTGTCGAGGCGGACTGTGAGCTGAATTCTTCATCCACGGACCCTTCGCAGGCGTTGTACGGTGAGCGGCCATCGATAAATCGAGAACCTTTCCATCCTCGAACACCAGTTGAACTCGAGAATCTCCTCGCGTTGTTGATATTGTCCACGTATGAGTATGTACAGCGCGGGAATTTGTTGAAGATGAGATACCGTGCTGGTGAGGCATTCACAATAGCCTTGGATATGTCTCTGCATACTTTAGGGGAGGATCATAGTGAGTTTGCAGAGGCTAGAAGGAGAGCGTGGTGGATGACGGTATGTCCTACTTTCATGAAGAATGCTGGTCGGTTCTAACTTGTTTTTACAGTACTACTGCGTCCTCCAAGGGTCTATTGTTAGCACAACCGTGAGTATCCCAGTCCCCCTTATCCAAGCCTGATTCAAACTAAGAACCAATAGACACCGTCCATCGTGATCCAAGATCCTCAATTCATTACACCATATCCCCAATTCTCCTCCGACCCAGATGTGAGTGGACCGCACCCAACAACTTGTCGCCTTCTAACCTCTCCTAGGGTTGGCCTGTTTTGATACAGGCACAGCAAGTCCTAATATCGGCGACTCAATTCGTAATCGACCTAAACAAATGTATAAATTCAAGGTCGAATATGTCCTACATCTACGAACGAATGCAGCAGCTTGACGCCTGGACTGCCTCCGTGCTTTCGCAGTCAGCATTGACCCCCAGTATCTCACAACCTCACGGGCTCGGCGACAGAACAGAATTAATCACAGCACGTAGCATGCGTGCAATTGCGCGGATAAAGCTATCCAGGTATCTATCCATCAAACACAACCCGGTCAGCATCACATACTAACCCCATTCTAGCGCGCAGGTCAAAACACACCGTTTCCGAGCCTTCCAAGACATTCCCATATTCATCAAGAAGCACTGCGATCTCACAGCAGCAGCAGCAGCAAATGCCAATAACACAGCTCCAGCAACATGCACACCACCCAAAGACCCAACCCAAATAACAAACATCCGCTGCTCTTGCAGCAGCAGCACTACCACCATGGAACATGTCCCCGAATACGCAACACCCTCTACCTCAACAACCCCAGATCTCCCATCAACATCATCATCACAACAACCCCCTACCCCCACAGAATGCCCCTTCACCAGCCAACACTCGGCAAAAGTGTGCCTCCGCGCCGCTCTCCTAATCTCGCACATGTTCCAATCTCTACCCCTCCCGCGTCCTGAGGGACAAGAACTCCACCCGCAGCATCAGCAACAGTTACCACGCACAATGCCCTCATTCGCCTGCTGCTTAATGCAGGGCAGCTACGCCATGTTAATGATATTCTACAAAGCCCGCGTCGCAAGACGAATGTCTCCGCCTCCACTCCCGCTCTCATCACAACCAGGAACAGGGTATGAAAATGGGCGACGCATGTCTGGGACTATGAATCCGAATGCGAATTCGAACCCGACTCCGAATCCCACGGATAGACTTATTTTGGAGCTGAGGCAGGGGCTGGGGAGGATTATTGGTGCGGTGAGGAATTATACGATTGCATTTGAGGCATTGGTTGGGATGAGGGGTGAGTTTTTCTTTTCCTTTTTTCTCTTTTTATTGGGATTTAATCTCATGTGTTGGCTATGGAATAACGGCTAACTTGGTATTCTGGTACAGATGATATTGAAGGGGCATACCATACGGCATTCGCTTGAATGCAATGCTTGAATAGAACTTCGGGATTTGCTTTTCTTGCTTTATACCACTATTTTGCACGGTTTCTTATATATAGGATATATTTTTTCTAGTGTCTTTTGAAATTTATAATTCACGGCCTAGTGATGCCTCCTGTTGATTGTTTAGGTATTGATCGAATTGGAGTTGGGGATATCTGAAGAGAACAGAGTCGGAAGATTTTTGTCTTCGGTTCACAATGCAGTATGCTTGACAGCAAGGATTCACATGCATTCCATTGCTGTGTTGAAAAAGCAAAGTTCAAATTCGCTCTAAATGTAGATCTAAAAACCTATAGCGCCAACACCAAAAGATACAGCATAGGGTATTACACGTGTACGAAGACTCCCCCTGTCTATAACAAGATTATCAAAACCGTGCGGCATGTTCAAAGTTTCGACCGGATCCCTTCTAAGCGGAACTTGACATCCTTTAGTACCTTGCTCGACGGCTTCCAGTCATCGAATTGCTTCAGGAGTTCCATTGTTTCCTCGTACAATTCGCGCTTGACATGTTCTTCTTCCAAGAGGCCGCGCATGGCGAACGGGAGGATATACGGGTTAACCGTTGGTGAGCCTTGGGGTCGCTTGATTTGTAGGGTTGCGCCGCTGACATCTGACGTTTCTAGAGCGAATGCGATGGCGAGGCTGGAAAGAATGTTAATACATTGCATACCTGCGGTGGAGGAGGCATGAACTTACGAATAAACAGCCTCGTCATCGTAAAGACGAGAATGCCCCTCTCCAGTATAGAGACTGCCCGCGAGCGGTGCGCTCAGTTCCCGAATGAGGCCATGGTCTGCTATCCCAAGGTTTCGTAACTTGAGAGAAAACCCAACTAAATGGGAAAGGCTGATAAATGTCAGCAGAGTTCAAGACCACTGGTCACGGATACTTACAAGCTGGGAGCATGAACCCGACCGTCGACGAAAACAGCCCGATAGATATAAGGATGATTTACCGGCGAGAAGAGCGAAGACTAGAAGATAAACATGTTAGACATACGAGCATGTAATACCCGGGAAGCGAGTACTTACCTCTAGAGACACCAGTTGATCGTCAATGCTTCCAATGTAGGAAATTCGGACCCCGAAGTCAAGTGCACATCTCAATGCAGCTTCATAGTCCTGAGACACCTGACTGTGAGGCAACGCAAACTCAAAGAGCTCCCCAGCAGATCCACTAATCCATCGAGATCTATAGTCAGGAAACGGTCCCAGGTTAACACCGGCCATGGCGCATATTCCAACGCGCGACGCATTCACGCAGCCAAATGCTATTAATTTTGCAACCAACATGATAGACACTGGAACACCCTGGCTGTGGCATGCAATCATGATATAATCTGCGTTTCTGATTTCTTCCATCCAGTTCAATAATAGTTTCCACAGCAAATCCACACGTTCGGAAATGCGGCCTTCACCTTCAAGTGAGATCTTGTCAATATCGCAGGAGTATCCGCGGCTCTCGGTCCAGTTTCTGATGGCGTTAGCCGCCATCGTCGAGAATCGTACAGAAGTGCCTGTTGGTTGACCAAGAACGCTTCGTATCAGTGGAGCAGGGAAGTATCCGTGTACCCCAATAGCCAAGGCCTTTCGGATGCGAGGCGGATCTCGAATTCTGTACGCATGCTTGTTATGCTGTTTTTTGCTATAATGTAAGAAACTTCCAAGTGTCTGTATTAAAGACGGTGACTCTTGCATAGAAAATGTGTCTTGAAAGCGTGGCAGAACATGGTTAGGTAGATTCTTTTGCAAATTTTTCAAGGCAGCAGTTTGAGGAGCCTTCGGGGGTACAGCATCGGCTGCGATCTCTACCTGAGCTGCGACTTTATCGGGAAGAACAGGAGGCCCGGCGTTGTTTTTAGGTGGCTTGACCTTGGTACTCCCCTTTTTCTTGATTTCCACTTCTTGTTCTGGCTCTGGCGACTGCTGCGAAGACGTATCTTGTTTTATTGAGGCTTCGACGGTTTCGACATCTTGGGTATTTGGTTGCGCAGAATCCTTTGAAGTGTCCCGGAACCAGAACGACCAGCCAGATGATCTATAGTTCTGAGCAGGTGGTTTGGGAGAATCACCTCGTTCTTCAGGTCGTTCGTTAGGCACTGGCGTGTCGTTTTGTGCAGCCTCGGCTGGTTCTTCAGCTATACTCGGTGGTAGATCCTTTGCGGGTCCTTCTTCCTTTTTGGGCTCATCTGGTGCTTTTGACGAAGAGGGCGAGCCGTACCACATCTGGAACCACGAAAGCTTTTGAGGTGCCGCTGTCACTTGTGTAGTTTCAGGGGTATCTGTTTTTGTTGTGGTTTGCTCTTCAGGAACTTCGTTGTTTGTTTCAACGGTATCCTTTTTCAACGTCTGGTCTGTAGTTGACGGCTCCGGTGGCGGGTTTTCTACCGGAGTTTCTGTCGCCTGGGAGCCGCCGGTCGTGTCTGTCACAATCGGTGATGATCTGTAGAGCCACGAGAACCATCCACCAGTTTGTGTTGCGGGTGCTGTATTACTGTCCGGTTCCGCACTTTCGTCACATGCGTTCGGGGCTGTCGTTTCGGTTACACTATCCGGCTGTTCCTTTGCAGTGTCGTCCACGACCTTTTCGCCCTTGTCGTTTGGTTGTTCCTTATCCGTAGACTGTGCAGCCGGTTCCGAGGGAGTACTCGCGGCTGGGGTAGATGTAGAGCCGTCGGACGCAATGTTGAGCCGAGTTGTCGTCGCGTTGGCAGGAAGAGACCTGCTCGACGCAGCTTGTCGTCGTGTCAGTTGGAGGGAAGGATTTCGGTTATGTTTCGGATGGTCATCGAGATGGAGATGGGAGGAAGAGGAGGAAGCGACATTGGCTACATTTTTGGCTGATATGCTTTCGCGGGCTACCTCGGTAACGGGCGCTGCTTTAGAAGCTCTGGAGCCGGCCGGCCAGGTCCCGGGATACCGATTCTAAGTAGAAAACGCAGATTAGCTACGCGAATATAGTCGATTTTTATATTGAGTCATGGCAGACTTACTACTCCAGATCCCCCCCTCTGCGACGATGTTGAACGTTGTCTGCCGCTTGAGGGAGATAGATCCCCATGACTCGGGGTTGGAGTGGACGGGGCCGTGCCTGGTGGGCTAGGCTCTACTTTCTTGCGGAATCCCGTAGGCGCCATGAAAGCTGCAATAAGAACATAACCCAGCAAAAGCCAAGTATCAGGGCACAAAAGGAGTGTCCCTTTTAAATAGTCGAAGTCGGAAGGCCATGAGCTATTGCCTGTGAACGTGTGTTGGTATTGGTCCAAGTCAGTCGGGCTGGAAGCATTGCTGATATCATGTCACATGCATCTAGGCTGACCGCCTTTGTCGCCTCAGGCAGAATGTGGCTAGTGCGTGTTGCACCGCCTGGCAGAAAAAATTTGGAGGATCTGTGGAGACGGCCAGAATCCGATAAGCAGTTCCTGAATTCTTTCGTCTCTCTTCATACCATCCAACTTCTGTACAAGTCAAAAGGTTCCGTCGAGGCTTACTCGACTACCTACGCGCCAAAATGGCAGTTCAGAAAAAGCACGGAAAAGGTCGTTTGGATAAGTGGTATCACTTGGCTAAGGAGAAAGGATACCGAGCAAGAGCTGCGTTCAAGCTTGTCCAATTGAACAAGAAGTATGGCTTTTTGGAAAAGAGTAAGGTTCTTCTGGATCTGTGCGCTGCGCCTGGAGTAAGTCCTAGTCATTCCCCCTCTCTCTTTTGACTTTCTTGTATGCTAACAAAATCAGTCATGGTGTCAAGTAGCAGCAGAGTGCATGCCCACCCAGAGTATCATCGTCGGTGTTGATCTTGCTCCCATCAAGCCAATTCCTCGAGTTATCTCCTTCCAGAGCGATATCACCACGGACAAATGTCGCGCGACAATCCGATCTCATCTCAAACACTGGAAAGCAGACACAGTCCTGCACGATGGTGCGCCGAACGTCGGTACCGCGTGGGTTCAGGATGCGTTCTCCCAGGCAGAACTGGTGTTGCAATCCATGAAGTTGGCTACGGAGTTCCTGGCTGAGGGCGGTACTTTTGTCACCAAGGTTTTCAGATCGAAGGACTACAACGCTCTGATTTGGGTTTTCAAGCAATTGTTCTCGTCCGTCGAAGCGACCAAGCCCCCGTCTTCCCGAAATGTCTCCGCAGAAATCTTCGTCGTTTGCCGTGGATACAAGGCCGCGAAGCGTATCGACCCGAAGTTCCTCGACCCCAAGCACGTCTTTGCGGAACTGGCTGATCCCACTCCGAACTACGAGGCCAAGGTTTTCGACCCCGAGAAGAAGAAGCGAAAGAGGGATGGTTACGAGGAGGGTAACTACATTCAGTTCAAGGAGATCCCGGTCACGGAGTTCATCAACACTATCGACCCGATCGCTATTCTCGGAGAATACAACAAGCTTAGCTTCGATCAGGCACCGGCTGGAGACCTCGCCATGGCTACTTTGAATCGACTTGAGGAGACCACCGAGGAGATTCGCACATGCTGTGAGGATTTGAAACTCCTGGGAAAGAAGGAATTCCGGAACCTGCTCAGGTGGCGACTGAAGGTTAGGGAGAAGTTTGGTCTTGTCGTGAAAAAGGGACCTCGTAAACCTGAGGAGCAGACTGAAGAAGTGGCGGAGGTTGCTCCTATGGATGATGAACTCGCGATCCAGGATGAACTACATCGTCTAACAGAAAAGGAAAGCGCGACGAAAAAGAAGGAGCGGAGAAAGGAAAACGAAAAGAAGCGCAAGGAGATTGTCCGGATGCAGATGCACATGACTACGCCTATGGAAATCGGTATGGAGCAGCTGGGTCCAGGAGGAGATGATGCGACCTTCTCCCTCAAGCGCGTCGACAGAGAGGGAGCGAGAGATGCGATTGTATCCGGAAGACAGGCCGTAGTCGAGAGCGAAAGTGAAGAATCCGACTCTGAATCTGA